AGTTTGTATTAAGGTTTACCAATAAAGGCGGAAACTCAGTCGTAAAAGATCATATTCCATCCTCAACCAAGCAGTGAAATCAAGATCCCCAACGAACACTAGGTATTTTCAACAATGACCGAGTCACGGAGTTCCTCAATCGAATGCTCGACAATGCTCCGATCGACGCATGCATGCGTCAAGGTGCAACAAAACAGTCTTGCACTGCCCGTTCGTTCTCAGCGAACGGGCATTTTCGATAGTTCGAGGAAAGAGAGAAAAGAAAAAAACAAAATAAAGAATCTAAACAAATCTAAGAGAAAAATCTAAGAAAAGAAAATAAACAAAAACTTACCTCTTGTAGAAATAACAGTCGCCCGTTTCCACGGGCGACAGTTAGGCTTGGACCCCACTGCCGGCGCCTGGAAAAGGAAAGTGGCCGCAAAAAGCTGGCCAACATCGGTGGAAACTTTTTGGCACGATTCATGAACACCCCACCGCCAACTTCTGGCGGTGTTTTGGAAACGACCTCGCTTGCCGTTTTTGGAAACCGTAGGGGGGGGCCTGCCCGAAAAGGAAAGCACGGACGGCCTGCATGGACCAGCGGACATCGTAGCCTTTCGGGTTGGCCTGTCCGTGTGTAGTGGTGCATGCCGCCCACGGTACCGTGCGACGGATTTCGGATCCCCGATGCGGCGTCCCAGGGAGACCCACGACGGAAGCAGCAACGACAATGTTTTTGGGACATTCCGTTGGGGGCCACCCGGGGAATTCAAATTCGTCAGCTCCGCGCGGGACACACACTTCCATGTCAAGGCTTCACGTGGTGTTGTCGTGGGGGAGGCTTTGTGGGCGTTGGTACGCGGCCATCGCTTTTGCCAGAGGTTGTCCACGCGTTGGACGTTGTAGTGAAAGGAGGCTATGGATGCGTCTGGATGTGGGATGAATATTCAGGAAAGCGAAGATGCGATGTGCATGCTGCTTTTCCTCCTCTTCCAGTGGGTGAGCTGACGAAACGTGGCAGCATTGGCGGTCGTGGAGACGGTATCGTTGATGTCTTTCGTCCACAAAAATGTCTCCGCCGCGGTGACACTACTGGCGGGGGGGGCTGTTGCATGGTTTCGCCCTCGGTGCACTGGCGATGGAGGAGATGAGGAGAACGCTGGACCACAGACGTCATATGTGGGTGTTGGCGCGTAGCGGTGGTCTTTGGAAGGATCTCCAGCGAGTAGGGGGCGAGCACGACAAGGTCTTCCTTCGGTTTTGCAGACTTTCGCGCCCCCTGTTCTTCAAAGCTCTTGCTCGCATCAGCCCGCATATCCAGCGGTCGCCCACGACCTTCAGAATGCCATTACCCGCCGGACAGAAGTTCGCATGCGCTCTTATGAGATGGGCTACTGGCGGTTATTACACGCAATCCGCCCACAGCTTAGGGATGGGCCTCGCGAGTGGTTTGCGCAGCAACGAGGAAGTGGTCGACGCCATCATCCGGGAGTACGGTCATCTGCTACAGTTCCCTACGGGACAGCGGTTGGAGGACGTGCAGAAGGGCTTTGAGAGAAAAGGGTTCCCCGGGTGTGTGGGCGCCATAGATTGCATGCATGTGTATATTGACAAGCCGAAGGGAGTGCGGTCGGAGTGCTATTACCACCACACGGGGGGGTTCTCGGTTGTGGCACAAGTCGTTAGCGACCACCAGTGTCGGATTTCTAGTGTTTTTGTCGGTTGTCCAGGGTCTGTGCACGATTCCAGAGCTCTGCGCATCTCGCCACTGTATGTGAATGCTACGGAGGGTAGAGGAGTGTTGGCTGAGGGAGGTGCCGTCCTGCACGACGGCAGATATGTTGGCAGGTATTTGCTGGGTGATCAAGGGTACCCTCTTCTTCCATGGCTCATGACTCCATTTGGCCGGTTTGCTCAAACGGAATATGATCGGGCGTTCGATTTGAGCCACAGTGCAGCGAGGTCGTGCATTGAACGGACTTTCGGCCGTCTGAAGGCGGTTTGGAGGAACTTCATTCGAAGACACATCTGCAACCTGAAGATCGTCTGCAAAGAATTCATGGCCATCTGCATTCTCCACAATCTCATGATCATCCACAACGTGCACATCGACCCCGCGCTGATGAAAGACAGCAGTGACAGTGATGGCGATGAAGAGCAGTGTGGGAACCGTCGACGGCGCCGACGCCGTCGGCGATTCAACCGTCATCTTCCGAACTTGAACATCGAGGCGCCTGCGGAGGACGACCCCACTTACGGGGGGGAACTCGCGGCTCATGTGAGGGCCAGCCTGGTGGAGCACGTGCGCCACCACGTGGCAGTCCACGGGGCCCCTCCGCCATGCCCATGGCGTCAGTGGTCGTCTTTCATTACACAGGGCATAGAGCGGATGAAAAATTTTAGTGTTAGTGTCGTCGACCGTTGGTGCAACTTGTACGGTTTACCGTACTGGAATTTGTAGTTACACCAACCGGGTACTCGGGTTCCGACGTTGCGGTTTCGATGCATTGTGTACAAATGAATTCGTCCTTGTAAACAAAAACTCATGATGTAGTGCTTTCCTGTTCGTTGTTCGATGATTGGGCAGTGACGGTGTTTGTCTGTCGAGTGTCGAGTATTTGTGAAGTGGACCAATTAAATAACAGCCGACAAATTTTACGACGACTGCAGACCTTTCTCACATGTAAGTGGACAACGTCCCATTAAAAGAACAAGACAACATACATGCCATGATTGTCTTTTCCAACGAAGGAGCGACAAGTCCATGAAACCCTGCCCAACAAAAACATTAATTTCCTTTCGTACTTCCTATTTCGGTTGCTCAATTGAGTTAAGAGAAACTGCATGTGCATCAAGTACGCATGCCCATTGACAACACCCGAATTGCACCGTTCCATCCATTGTGCACCACACCCAACAACCGAATAACTGTGGATATGGAAATGATGAAAGGGAGGGAGGCAACAGACGCAAAGAAAAAGGTACAAACACAAACCTGAACAAGAATCCAAAAAAAAAAAGCGTGAATATGGAACAATCAGAAAACAAATGCGTCGAAATGGATGACTCAATTTGAAAATGGAGTGAATACAAATTCAACGGTGGTAGAAACAAAAACATCCGTAGCAAAGTTTGAATGACGTCCGGATGACCATTCGCCATTTCACCCTTCCAAACATTGCATATGACGATGATCACCACCGTGATCATCATCATCATCGTCATCCTAAACATCATTGTCATCGAATTCATCATCCTCATCATCATCGTCATCATCATCATCATCGTCATCATCATCATCGTCACCATCTTCATCATCATCTTCGTCATCAGCATCGTCGTCATTGTCATACAAATCGAACTCCATCATCATCATCATCATCATCATCATCATCATCATCATAGTCATCTTCTGACCGCCGTCGCCAAAGGGCTCTACAATGGAGTGTCCAATGAACACTATGACCTCCTTACGGCGCATACGACGAAGACGACGACTGTCTCCTCTCGCCCTGCCGATACTCAAGACCTCACCTCCCCGTGCAAATAGGGCCTGCCCACCAATGGCGGATCGAGAATGCACCTCCAAAATGGGACATCATCTAGGCGGTCTGCGTACACGTCGCCAAGGGTGGAGACATACAGAAGCACGATCTCCCCCAGCACATCAACGGGACGGCCACCCACATGTCCCCGTCGGTGGCAATCGAACGTCAGAACGCACATGTATATGATATATAAATATATAAATAAATATATATATCGTCAAATAGAACTGCCCGGTAAACCGTAGGCAGAGAGGGAGAAGAGGACAACAAACGAGGGGCTGTGTATATGTATATTTATTTATTTATTTATATATTTATATATACATATATATATATATATATATGTATACATGCGCGCTCCGACGTTCGATTGCCACCGACGGCGACATATGGGCGGCCGTCCGTTCACCTCGCAAGGCTTCGGTCCCACGACTCAAATCTACATATATATATATATATATATTCAAATACACATCGGAGCTCAAAAACCAACGAATGAAACGAGAAAATAAAAACAATCACCGCGAGGAAGGGTCCTCATACCGATCACCTTCGCCACCGTCACCTCTGTTTCCCCCCCTACTAGCAAAAACACCCACCAGCATCTCTAGAACGTTGTTCCCACCCCGCATTGCTTCGGCCATGTCCCCTATCCAAGCAGCGATTGCACTGCCAGCGTCTGCGGTGGCATTGGCGAGGGCAGTGGCCGCTTTGTCGAGGCCATCGCAGTACGATGTGGTGGAATCCTCCATGGCCCTACCCAAGCTCGTCATGCTGCTGCCGGCGTCTTCCTTTCGCGCCTTCCCGCTGGCTGTCCGCCTCGGTTTAGCGGAATTGTCGGACTCCTCCGCCCATCTTCCGTCCGATCCTCCACGCGGCGGTGCATCTGTTCCACCAGACGTGAGGTTCTCCGAAGCCAGCGTGTTGTCACACCTCATCGACGGCCGATTCAGCTTCCATTGCATGGCGTCCCACAAAGCTTTCTCAAAAGAAAGCGGAAGACTCTTCTCCTTTCGTTCCTCCACCGTCAAATCCCAATACGATGGTTGCCTAGACGCTTCACATTTCTCCACGATTAGCTTAGCCGTATTCAGTATGTTCGACCACTTCTTGCGACAGTCCTCACCACTCCTTTGTTTGAAGCCCGCGTCCCTCATCCTGTCATTCACCCATGCGTACCGCTCTTTCCTCTGCTTGAATCGGTGCTGGCCGTTAGCATCCTCCATGAGGGCGTCATCCTCACCCATCAACATGGCAAGCTTCACGCGCTCGTCTAACGTCCATGGGACGTTAGACTTCTTTTGAGCTGGGGGGCGGCCATTCGGTGGTCGTCCGCCAACCGCTTCACCTCCCACACCCCGACCTTGAACATCACCCTGCCCGGCCGTCGAACTTGCCACCAAGGGGATGGCACTTGCTTGCTCACCTTGACCTTCTTCGTCACCCGCCTCGGAGCCGCCCGTGCCTTCATCGCACGCAGAATCCACTCTAGTATCGCAGGACACCAGCCTTGGCGTCGGCCGATTCCAAGTGCCCTTCGTGTCAACGCCTTCCGCTGGAGACGGAGAACCCCGTGTGCCGAATAACCCCCACTCTCCCTGACTGCACTGGGAAGACCAAAGCCTACCACCCGTTGGCACACTACGAGCTTGCATTGACGGCATGCCAAAACCTACACCTGTGCTCGTGCCTTCAATGGGAGACCACGATGCATACAAATCGAACTGCTGGTGGATGGAGATAGGATGATCGTGCACGCCAAAACCGCCATCCGCACACAAGTCCCGTGCCTGTGCACCACCACGCAGTGCGCCCGCGGCCATGTTCTCCGGAGAATATCCAACAAACCCTCCATCGAAGGCCGGCGGAGGGGAAGCACCACGTGCAGGGTAGTACGGCTGCTGCATGGCCGACGGGGACTGACGCAGGGCGGCGAATGACTGCAGGCTTTGAACTGCATGACCTTGATGGCCCCGTGCATGCAGTTGTCCGTCGTGCATATCGTTTCCGCCATCGAATCCGATGTCGCCATCACTCGCCCAACGTCTGCTATCCATCGTCGGGCCACCAGCTTTGACGAAAGCCAAACGGCGACGAAAGGTGGCACCTTTCGGCACACACGTGTACGGCTCCACTACCGACGCCTGGACAGAAGCATGACGGCAACGAACATGAGGACTGTGGACAACAACAGGAGCCTGACAACGAAGATGAGGAGGAGACTCGCTGCTGCGGCGGCGGCAACAACGAAGAGCGACAGAGCGCCTGGTCGCCCCACGCCGCAATCGTTGTCCACGATGACAACGACGGGACGGTCCGTGACAAAACCCAACCGGCCCCCCCCAAAAGTCGAAAGAGGAGATGGAGACCTGCCCTCTCCGATCGCCACGTGCCCTGTGGTGACGTGTTCACGGCCGGCGGAAGGACTGCGGACCTCCACTACTGGATTCCACAAGGGAGGACCTCCACTGCTAACTGCACATCGCCTGGAGTGGACGACGAAGGACGCTGAAGCGCGTGTGCATGGGACCACCCTCGGAGCAAAGAACGGGGTAGTCGGAGATACCACCACGTCAGCACACCCGCTCCCGCGATGACAACCTCGCGCAGCTGCACGTACGGAGCTGAAGACAGTACTCTGTTGCAGCGTTCGGACCGCAGCGCAGGCATCCGAATGCGCCGAACAATGACTCCACAGACCACGAACGTACGAAGTGGCAGCACGTCGGGCTGAAGCCACACGGCCGAAACGAGCAGCGTTCAGCAGCAATGGCATGGCATATCGACGTTAGACCCCACGTGTCTTCGAAGAAGACAGTGACGGAATACGAAGGGCGGAAATGTGCAATCGCGGAGACGTGAACGACAGACAGTGCGGTGAACTATCTGCGTCGTACACGCCCCAAGTACTTGTTGCGCATTTCGAAATCCCTGTTGACACACCGCCATAATTTCAATTGCACGGTCTCTCGTAGCGCGGTGCACCGGGACCACTGCGGGGGATCACGTGCGGGGACCGCCAACGACCACTTTCGATAGATCGTGCGACACGATCTTCGTTCCTGCTCTCTCGGCCTGGAACAAACGAATGTCCGCGACGGCCTCTCGCTGCACCAGTCCTGGGCGGCCTCCAATGCCAACGGCTGGCGCTTTGCCCTCCCTACCCTGTTGGAGCCCATTCTGGAAAACAGCGCCGGCCACAGGGGGAGACTTTTCCAGCCGCCAGCCATGTAGAAACACACCTGGCGGTGTTTTGGAAACGGCAGTGGGGTCTGAAATCGACGTATGCAGACCTCCATAAATTTTCCTGGCGGCCAAGTGGGGTCCGAAATCGCCCTTCCATGCCAAAACGTTTTCAGGCGCCGGGCAGTGGGGTCCAAGCCTTAAGTGTACTGGGGTGGTCAGTGCCCTTGTCACTTCGGAGGCCGCCATCTGTCGTGTCGTAGTGGTTTAGTTTTAGTTTTTATTTTGTTTTTTTTTTGTTTGTTTTTTTTATTCATTGGCTTAGCCAACAGTTACCTCCTTGTTCGTGGCACACCCACGAACCACTGGAAAACAGGTCCGGGTTCGAATCCCGTCGGGGACTTTTCGGGCCATTTCCCGATTTATGCGTGTCATCCTTGCGCAGGGGCCATCTCACCTCCGCGCGACTGTTTTCAACCGCACGATCTTACCGATCGCACGGCCGAAAACGGTCACGCCCAATGGTTGGGCTACTCCAAAAGGAGCTAGCCCGGTGGTTACTGTTTCTCAGATTCGATCCTGGTATCCGCCGGGTAACAGTCTGACAATGGTACCTACTGGGCTAGCTCCTTCACACATCAAGGAAAGAGCAGCCCTTCTATATGAAGGGCTTCTGGTGCCCATCAGGCCTCCCTCCGGCACTTAGCAGGCTGTGTCTCCCATGCCCTACTTGCTGTTGTGGCTGGCTGGCAAGGTCGGCAGCCGACAGCCTCAGCGGCTGCCCTACTCAGCTGGCCCCAACGCCATCGCCCCTCGTCCCTGGCGCAGACCCCGTGGACCCTAAAAAAAATCCTCCTACTCCTTCACGCTGCGTCCCAACCTATTCACAGCGACCCTTTTTTACCCGCTTAGGCCCTGAATCGCGCGGCTGTTATAGGTAGGATAGGTTTGCTTTTTGCATTTCTTTATCCGCACATTCCTGCGGTTTTGACAAATCGTAGCCTTGTCGTTTACATCCGATACCTCCGTACGTCACACGCGCCCGGACTAAAGCCCAAAATTTTTTTAGGTTCTTAGTCATAGATCAAGTCTGAATAAACTTTTGGCAGACGTCAGTCTCATCAAGACTATTATTTCAACGCAAGAGTCGGACAACGTCCGACGTTCAAAAACATCGGCAAATACCCTTGTCAGGGTTTTTGCCCCGACACCGTGATTCACCATTTGGCTGGCACCCAAATTGTCCGGGGATTCTCCTCTCAAGGAGCCTAGTCCGGTTACAAAGGAGCAAACCAGGGAATCGGAAAAAGGAACCGAAAAAAAGGAAACGAAAAAAAGGGGGGAGGAAAAAAAGGAAAAAAAAAAAAAGGAAGAAAAAGGAAAAAAAGGGGGGGAAGAAAGAAGGGGGGGCGAAGGTGGGTAAGTAGTCATATCAGAAGGGAAAACTGAGAGAAAGGGGGGAGGGGGGATCCATCTGTAGAGCCAGAAAGGCCCAGTGAGCAATGTCGGCCACTCCTTGTCGCTCCTTCTCTCACCATCTGTATGTGTGTGTGTGTGTGTGTGTGTGTGTGTGTGTGTGTGTGTGTGTGTGTGAGGGGTGGGGCGACGGGGGGCGGCGACCCCTCCCCCACCAATCAATCAATCAATCAACGGAAAAAAAAACTAAAAAAATAACGCTTAGTTTTCTTTTTTTTTTTCCTTTTTTAACTTTCACCACGACCCCCCCCCACCACCACCACAGAAATTTTTTTTTTTTTTTTTTTTTTTTTTTTCCTTTGAGGGGGTGGGGCGGGGTTTGTGCAACCCCAATCCACTTCCGAAAACCCCGCCCACCACCAACTGGCCACCACGCAAACACAAAGCCGCGCGGTCGTGCGGCCATGGTCGCGGGTTCATGGCCCTGGCCGCGGCCCTGCCATGGCCACCCACGGCCGCCTCCATGGGAGATTCATAGCTTTTGGGAGCTCTGTGGGAGGAAGGCCACTGGCGATGGCCACGAAGTATTAACGTGTGTCCAGGATGATATCATACAACCTCTGCCCCTCCGCTGGTATCCATATTTCACCATGCCTACCATGTTCGCAAGCGACTCATGATCTTCGTGATTCTTTCTTCTCTCCACTCGCGCACCCTGGCGCTTGCAGTCCGCTTTGTCTCTGATTCGACCTTTTGCAGCCGCCCCCTGTAATGTTCTTGCTACCGCTGCGACGTTCACCTCGCCCGCATTCGCGTGTGCAACGGGTTGTGCCGCACCAACGACCGCTGCAGAGGCTGATCCAGTGCCATGATGCCATCAAGTGCGCGTTGTTGATGTAGCGTCGTCGTTGTGTTTGGTTACCGTGGCGTCGACAGCGCGGCTGCCTACGTATTTTGTGTCGTCGACAACGTCGATCCCCGCATTGGAGAGCAGTAGCAGCTGCCCTTTATCCATGTGCATGTCTTCATTATGGTCCAGATTCATGACGCGTTCCTCACGTATTCCAGCCCGCGTCGCAGACACGCCACCCCGTGCACAAGCATTGGACGGCGGGGGTGGTGGTGGGTCATTCTGGATGCTACCCCTCGCCGCCGCAATGTGTTGGCGCCGCCCACTCCAAGTGTGCCTCCTCAAGAGCATCCTCCGTGGTGAACACGTCATCCTCATCGCCCCAGCTCGATCTTCCCCACCCATCCGACGCAGTTTGCGCAGCACTGCCTAACGCGGCATCATGACGGACCCTTTTGGACTTCGAAACGTGCAGCCCTCCTCTCTCAAACTCCCCTGTCTTTTCGGGGATGTTCTCGCATTTCTTGCCTCAACACGACACCGGATCTGCCCCGCGTTGACATGGGGTTCTTCTGCGGCGCTCTCCCAGTTGTCACTGTTGTCTGCCATCCACACGAACGTGATGATAAGGTGATGTTAAAGGATACGGCAACCATGATGGCGATCCAGGCGATGCTGACAGAATTGCTCGTCTTATCTGGTGACGGTGAAGGACGCTAGAGAAACATCCGAGCGGGGAAGGCCCCACTTCGTGCGACTCCACAACCGGTATGGTGATGAGGACAAACGAAGGCCAACAGAGGTGCAACGTCGATAGTACTTCACTGCGGAGTGTCCGCTGCAGGCGACGATGACAAACTTTGGGAAGGAACGACTGCGGCGGCAAGATCCGCTCTGGCAAGGAGTCCAACTCAGAACGTCAATATGGAGTGCCACTACTACCAACGCATTTGCTCGACGTGAAAGCTTTCGTCAATGCAGGACCCAGGGGCGGAGTGGTATGACCTTCCACAAACCGTTCTCTATTATGTGGACGAACACGTCCTTTTAACGGAGGATAAGCGACGATCGCCCGAACGATCACCCAATAGATTCTTGGAATAAACCACCAGCCCAACCCCTCCCTCGAAGGCCTCCTGCAAACCCGCTTGAGAACGTCACAATCCCCCATCCCCCATCCCCCTCCAAAAAAAACAATCCAGTAATTCCATCACCATCCATCTCGCAAACCTTCTCTAATGCACCCCCCCCCCCCCCCCCACCCTCTACCTCCCTCCCCCCCCCTCCCCCCGCAGCCCTTTCCTCCACGATGTGGAACACAACCTATGAAACACCCCTTTTGTCCCCTCTCCAAAAAAATGCTGCCCTGTGACCTCCACCAAAATATGTGCGGACACATCAAGCACTTGCCTCGAGAGTACTAGCGGACGATGTGGACGGTGAACGACTTCCACGAAAAAGGGTGCAGCATCAGACCTCAAACATGATCCCTGCCAATGAGAGGTGGGATGACTCGTATGATCTACTCCGCATCAGTGTCGTAACCCCGTTCACCGTTCACGTTCACGGGGGCGGTGAACGAGGGCCGGTCACCGATAACAAAAATCGTGATCGGTGGCACTTCAAGGAGTTCACACTGCAGAGAGTGGGATTGACTTTTTTTTTTTTTTTTGG